GCCCACATAGAGACGTACGGGTACGGGTTCCGATCCTACGACGTGTCACCACCGGAAGTGGGCTTCAACGTGTCGTTGTACCGGGAGGCCGAGGTCAAGGCCGGGATGTCCGCCCTCAGGTCTCCCATCATGCCCTACTGCTACGTCATGATGACGTCACTGCTCGCACTGCTCGGCCTGCACCCCCGCCCCTACATGGTAACCTATGGAGATAAATCATTGTGTACATGTTATATTTGGGGAAGTCCGTCACTTTGGCCGCCTAAGACTACATAGTGACGTGCACACACAGTAGAACTCGGATTCAACGAAGTCCTAGGGCCTGGCTTTACATTTCGTTGAATCCTAGTGTTTGTTTGATAGCAGACATGAGGTTTTTGTGTAGATAATTACAGGCACAGGTTAACCCTATCCGTACGCCTCGGGGTCATTTGGTACCCCCGGGGTTATATTCTTCACTTTTTAGAATACTTCTAGTGTGAAGATCTCTTTGAAACTTTCAGTATTTCTCAAAAAATCATTTTAAGTTTAACAGACTGCTGTGCAAAACGTACGGATCGGATTAACGAGTAAATTTAATAAAGTGGAGGTACAGAGTCCCCCAGGTCGTATGTTTGGTTTAGTTTTAGTAAGGTTTTACGGCGCTCGCAACTGTATAAGGTCATATGAGCGCCAAGTGGTAGATGTCAACAGAGAAGTCTTTACAGGGAATCAGACTTACTCTGCTTACCTCTCTAGCCTCAACAGCACAAAGTCTGCCTCGACTATCTAGATCTAAGCACCTCGGAAATAGCAGTTCACAAGAGAGTGACAAACATACAATAGAAGTAGAGGAAAATGACGATAGTAAGGATTAGGAAAGAAAAAACAGCAGTTCCCCCTATGCTGTTCCGGCACAGTACATGTATGAACAGGACATTGATAAATCAACCTATTTATAATTTTACTGTGCATGGGAATGGGAATGGGCTAAAGCCACTTCAGTCAGTAGCATTTCCCCGGGGGGGGGGGCACAATTTATCATTGCAATTACTTTTTGCTATTCTAACTACATTATGATCTGACATGATCTGGACTTATCTAATCTGATCTAATCTACTCTGATCTAATCTGATATAATTTCATTTAATCTGTTGTAATCTGATCTGATCTAATCTGATCTGATGTGAGCTGATTCAACCGCTTGTTTCTTTCAGCTGTGGAGAATCTTCCACGTGTTCATCTCCTCCCTGCTCCCTATCTCCGTGTACCGACACACGTCCGTGCTCACTGGGACACGTGACGTGAGCTGTGTGGCGGCCATCTTGACCTCTTGTTCCGTGTACCTGACTGTGTGGGGCACGCGCTGTCTGCTGCACTCCTTCCTCTCGCCCCTCTCCTTCCTCGCCGCCTCCCTGATTACAGACCTCTTCTCCTCCTCCTCCCCACACTCCTCACAATCACAAACGTCCACGTCAGGAGCAGTGACGTCACAGACTGGAGGAGGAGTAGTGACGTCACAGACTGGAGGAGGAGTAGTGACGTCACAGACTGGCCGGTGGTCAGACGACTCTCGTCCTGCCACGCCCACGTCTGCGGCCAGGGCAGGGACCGGACACAGCAGTCACGTGACCACGCGTGGCCACCACGTCGGCGTGACCTTCACGTCTGGTTCACGCACAGGCGGAGAGGGGAGCAGTGTGGAGCCGGGGGGAAACCATACCCGCGAACATGACAGCAACAGCAACAACAACAGCAAAGACAACGACAAAAACAACAACAACAGCAACAACAACAATAGCAATACCAACAACAGCAAAAACAATATCGACAACAGTAACAACGGCAGCAACAACAACAACACCACCAACAGCAACAAAAGCAACAACAACAACAACAACAGTAACAATAACATTAGTCTTCCTTCAACCACAACAACCACCACCCCCAACACAACAACAACACCACCAACACGCCCACAACAACAGCTGCTGTTTCCATCAGAAGCCCGCCCAGTGCTGACAGGATTCCTGGTGTTCCTGACCCTGTACATCCGCCCCGACTCGCTCCTGCTCTACTCCTGTCACGTGACCACACTCCTCTCCCTGGGCAGGAGGCCGTCTCTCTTACGTCACACGCCGGGTGTGCTGCTGGGCGTGGTGCTGGCAGGTGGTGTAGGAGTTAGCGCAGACGCGGTGATGTACGGGACGGGGGTGTTCAGTCCTGTCAACTGGTTCAACTTTAACGTCGTCAACAAAATGTCCACGCTCTTCGGATCTATGGCCGCCTCTATGTACGTCCAGGAACTCTGCACCAAAGACTTAGGCACGTGTTTATTCCTTCTCCTCTCTCTGTCGTTCACTCTTTTCTCCTCCTTTTTTCCTCCTCCCGTCAACAACACCTCCACCACCTCCACCACCACCACCACTACCACTTTCACAACCATCTCCACAACCACCACAACGACCTCTCCCTCACCCTCACACAACACAAAAGCCAAAGATTCGAACCCTCGCCCCCCGCCCCCACCACCCCCACAAAACCAGCTCGCGTGTGTATCTCGGCGCGTCCTTCTCTCCTGGCTGTCTCTCCTCGCTGTCTACTCTCTTAACCGGCACAAGGAGCTCAGGTTCCTACATGACGTCATCGTGCTCATCTACATCTACGTGGCCATAGTCATCGTTGACGTCACTCACTACGTCACACGTCACGTCACTCATTACGTCACAAGTGACGCCACTCGTCACGCCACACGTCACGCCACACACCACGTGAGAGCCGAGAGCTGGGGCCAGGCCGTGGGTCGTGTGCTCGTGGTTATCTTCGTGCTGTCTCAATACCGCGGCTTCCCGTGGGGGGAGGAGGAGGTGAGAGGCTGGAGCTACCAGAAGACGAGCTCCGTGCCTCACACCAACGCCTGTCTGGACTTCCTCTCCACCCGCCGTGACGTCACAGGGGTTGTGCTGGACAGCGACCTGTTCATGACGGGCGCCAGTAGTCTGCTCAGACATGACGTCATACTTCTGGCACAGGTCAGGGACGGGTTCTACCAGTTCGACCCTCACTCCCGCCGGAACTCCTCCTCCTCCTCCTCCTCCTCCCCCTCCTCCTGGCTGACCTACCTCCGACGCCCCACCCACTACACTCACAACCGGTTCGCGCCGGACGGGTCCTTCCAGACGTCTGCTCACGAGTTCACGCGCGTGTCTGACTACTACAGCGGCCGGAACCCAGGGGGCGTGGCCTCCGCCATCTTCCTAGAGCCCCGCTACAACTACCTGGTGCTGCGCGCAGACCGGAAGTTCGTGGACTTTGGATTTGTGCAAGTTTTTGTCTCTGGTGACAGGAGAGTGCTGCGTCGTCATAGTGATGTGGAGACAGAGTATAGGCTGAGGGAGACAGCTTCTAGGTGAGTGGGG